TAAGAGTCTGCAGTAAAGCCAAAACCAAGCCACAGAATATTTTTGTCTAACCCTGACACTTCTGTCATGAGAGAAGCAGGTTTCCAAGGGTCAGACCTGAAAGCTGCTAGCCCTGGGAAGGCTAAGTGAGGGCAACAGTTTTCCTTCTAAAAATAACTGATGGTAGAGACTGCTAGATGCAGAACCCTCTTCGAATCCTCCTCTCTGCACAGGTGGTCTGGGAAGCACAGGTGTACAGGGACGAATGCCCTTCTGTTTCCTCAGCTTCTCTGCAAACACAGCACCTGTGGTCCAAACAGAACGTCTGACTGTGGAGACGCAGTTGGGATGGGAGCCCCTGTTCCTGTGGAGCCCTGCAGATGTCCTGGGACGTCCTCCTGTCTGCAGCGCGTGACTACATGCAACTAGAAAAGCAATTTTTTGTCATTATGTAGAGTGACTGATCAGTGGGGAGAAAACAGACCTCAGGAGCTATATCATTCTGCTCTGGAGAGAGGGTGGTTCCTGAGTGTCTGGGAGCTGCCACTGGAAGTCTCCGAGCTTTGCATTTTCCTCTCTAAGATATATCAACCTCTGTCGGGGTTGGCATGAGTCTCCAATAACAGAATGTCTGAAACGTTTTCCGGCAAACTTTGTATGTTTGTAGAAAGCATTTCTAGCATTCATACACACCTAGTAAATAAGTGAATTATAATGGAATCAAGTTGTGTTGGGAAATTAGGATCCAATATCGGTCTTTCTATCATGAGCAATAACTTTAATGTGGTTGTTCACACAGCTTTATAGATCCAGCTCAGACTTTCACTTATGTATGTGACAATTGTTGATGTTCAATATACTGCTGAAAGCACAGGGACCACTACAGCAGAACAGAACCTGTGTATCTGTGTTCCTCAAGGAGCTACAATGCTATAACCTCAAGTGCCGTGGGATGGTGGGGTCAACTCCAGTTCTGTGGATATTTTGGCCAAGATGGGTGCTGACAGATTACTTCCACTTGCTAAAAGCAGAAAGAGAAAAAAAGCCCAGGACTGCTTTACAAAGAAGGAGGCTTTCCAGGGCTAGGAAAAGGAGCTGGTGGAGAGGCAGGAAGCAGGAAGGGTGGGCAGAAAAAGGTATCCTAGGCCCAATGAGCTCAGAGGGAAGACACCAAGGTGGACACATTTGAGACTGTGCTTTCTCCACTGTGGCTGGGAGCCCCTGAGCTGGGGAGCAGTTTACAGTGGTGTGTTCCTACTTGGGTACCTGTGGGGAGCTCACAGATTTTCATTTTTATAATGATTAATATATATACCCAAATAGAAACAATAGAATATTCTTATTTCTATAATTCCACACCCTGTTAAGGACACTGAGTTCTTAAGTTCAAGTTTCTATTGTCTCTATAGATATCCAGATAGTCTTCCTCCAGAAATAGTTACTTATGCATCTCTAATGCTATTCAGTTCATCCTGGCTTTCAATTTTTGCTCTTTGGTTAATTCTTTTTGGATTTACACTTTTTTTCATTCTTGTCTAATCTCTGGAGTTTGCCATTTTGGAAAGGATTATATCTTTCTTTATATATTGCCACCAATTTCTGTTCTGTGGGACAAGTAGAGGAGAGGAAGAGAGGGCTCTGTTCCCTTTGTTTGGCATCAACATTTCCCCAGCCCTGCCAGAGATTCAAGACTGCCTGCTGCTGCCCTTATACAAGTCTTTTCTTTGAGGAAGGAAGATGATAAGAATGCAGCATACAGAGCTCCTGGTTCTCCAAAGAAGTTTGAGAACCAGGCTAAATCCAGCCAGGGGCCTGACTTTCTGGTCCAGTTGTGCTGGTGCAGAGGTACCCACTCATTTCCATGTGGTCTGGGGATGCTGTTGCCTTGTACTTTACCTGCAGGACTTGAGTAGCTGTGACAAAGATCCAGGAGTCTTAAAATGCTACTAGTTGACCTTTACAGAAAAAATCTGTTTCTGTTCAAGACCAGAGGACTGAAGGACTATTTCCCCAATGGGTGTGTGGAGCTGACCTTGGGAACCAATGGCATGTGGGTGTTTCTGAGCAGTCAGCCTCCCCGTTAACATAGCCCAGTTCTGTGTAGTCACCGAATGAGGCCTTAAAAGCTCAGTAACCACCTTAGAGTCCATTACTAACTCTTGTCATCCTGAGGGCACACACAGATCTTTGTAGGGTAAAAAAAAAAAGCAATGTCCAAACACACATGATTACTTGATGAGTAAAAATAATAGAATATCTGCATAAAATTAGAAATCCATACTTTCAATTGTTTCACACTCTTCCTGTGAAGGAGGATCTCCTTTATTTATATCAGTTCAAGTTGCGTACAACTCATTTATCTTTTTTTTTTTTAAGGGATTAACTCACACTGAGAAGGAAGCCTCCTGCCCTCTATCCACCACTCTCCTCTTTTTATTCCTCCTTTCGTGGCAAAAATATGCACAGTTCTTATAGGGAGCAGAATCTCTAGATGGTTTTCCATTGGCCTTCAGGATGGGTGGGCATCCTCAGGATTAGGCCCAAGTTTAAGTGTCATCAAAATATCATGTAACTAGAATAGTAAGTCCTGAATAAACATTGTTTGCTGTCAGTAGCAAAAATATCTTAAGAGCAAGAGTATTGTCAAAAGTCTACCTGAGATTTTGTGCAGCCAGTAGCTTCCTGTAAAGCTTGGAAGTGGTGGAACTGGTTGGTAACATCACTCCTGCTGACAACAGGCCTTTTCCAAGGGACCCCCGGTGGGGTCCTGACTTTGATCACTGTGCTGATTTTCTTACAGTGACATCACTAGTTTTTACTCTGAAAAACGCGACTGGCTACTGGATTGAAAAACTGAAAACTCACATTGTATGCATATCATTTTACACTTGATCTTAGCCAAAAGGGGGAGAAGTGATATATATGCATATCATTTTAACTTTGATACTTCTGTAGCTGGATTGGTTACATGTCCCTAAAACAGCTAAGAAATTGGGCTTTATTCTTTATGCTAAAGTTATTATTAAAGGATTACACCCTGGTAACCAAGTTGTGAAATATCTCAGATCATATTGGGAATTAATTTTGTTTTTTTGGCCATGTCAAATGCCAAGTAAATTGTTTACTTCTCACTTGAATTTTTATTTTAAAAATCCAAATTTCACAATCAGTCATTCAGATTTCCCAGAGGTATTTGCTTAAGCTGGACTCCATTTAAAAATACTTGATATATTTCTAAATTGAAAGAACTAAGTTATACTAAACCAGGATAGATTTAGATTGTACTGTTTAAAAACATATGCTACATCTATTTGTGTGAAATCCAATTCCTGAAGCTACTGTAAATTCCAGAATTTACTATAATTAAATAAAAAGAAAGATGCCATAGCAAAAAAGAAATGACTCTAATTATTGTGTACTTTTTCCCTCTTTACATGTGTTCTCTTGTGGCATGTCCACATTGCTTTTGCAGGTGGTCAGCAATCTTATCAACAATTGGCAAACCCACTCCCACAGAGGCAGCATTACTAAGTTATAAACAAGACACTGGGGCAAGGAATTAGGCGATGGGTTAAGTACTCATGGGATTTTCAAAATCACCAGTGCTGGAACTGCTCTGTTCTAAACTGTAAGATTACAATATTAAGGGGAATGGGTGGGGAATTTCTATTTTCCAAGAGCAGCTTCCAATATCAGTTGAGAAGCATATGGAAATTTGAGAATACCCTTGCTTTTGCAATATGACTATTGTCTTCGTTCAGTATTATGAAAAAGCAGAGAACATAATCAAAACAGTGCAAATTATTAGAGTAAATATTTAAATTATGACTTTGGCTTACATAGCAGTGTCTCCTCAAACCTTTTATTTGGTGAAATTAAAACTTGAACACTATAATTCTGAATTCCCCCAATTTTAATGAGTCTCTTCTGAAGCCTCTGGGGGTAAGGAATGAAATTTTAACAGGGTGAGTAACTTCCATGTGCCACTTGGTACTGCTGTCCTGGGCACCCACTGGTCGGCTGCCTGCCTCTGGGGGTCTTTTCTCTGTCCTCCTGCCCCGGTTTATGTTAGTCTCCCTGCTGAGCTGACTCCCTTGTCAACACTGCCCAACTGATGTAGATGAAAGATGAGAACAAGGGAGAGATAGTTGATCCCTCACTCAAGCAAGGGAAGTGGTCCCTGTTGGCCTCACACCAGCTTCCAGCCTGAAGGTAAAGTGTGGGAGGACTTTGCATAGCAAGGAAGAGTGCTGGCTGCCACTGACTTGACTCTGGGAAGCTGGAGGTACACATATTTCCTTCTGATTGTGCAACCAAGGCCAACCACTCTAGGTCGATTGCCTCTTCATCGCTTAACCTTCCAGCCAATAATGAGGAAGAAGAAATATCAAGGCCAGAATTCTCCCTGAGATGGGAATGCTCTCTCTGGCAAGACTGACACTCCCAAGACAGTTATTCCCCAGCTCACCCTCTGGTATCCTGAGAGCCAGCTCTGATCTCTGGGTGGGGCTCCTGAAGATGTAACCACACCGAGGATTTAGTTGGGGACACTGAAGATGTAGATACACCAAAGATTTAGGTAGGAATCAGCTGGAGTTGGTGCTGGTTGTCAAATCTTCACAGTTGGATGACAATTTGGCAGTTTCTTGAAAAAATCTATGCATACTGTTGCCACATGGTCTATCAATTGTGACCACATTCCTTGATATTGTCTGAAAGGAACTGAAAATTTACGTCACAGAGAAACCTGGGTACCTATATTGATGGCAGCTTGCTTCATTATTGTCAAAACTTGGAAGCAACCAATATGCCCTTCAGGAGGTGACCAGATACAGAAACTGTGGTATGTCTAGAGAATGGAATACTATTCAGTGCTTCTCCCCGCACCCTGCCACACACACACACACACACACACACACACACACACACACACACACGGGCCATGAAAATACATGGTTGAAGGCACTGTCAGTGTATCTTAATAGGTGAAGAAAGACACTCAGAAAAGGTGCTTAGGTGCAGTTCCAACAATATGTCATGTCTGGAGAAAGCAAAACCACAGAGACAGAAAAAAAAAAAAGTGGTGAAGAGAAAGATTAATGAGCAGAGCACAGGAGACTTTTGGGGCACTGAAACCAAGTGCAGGGCACTGTAATGGTGGAGCTCAGTCAGCAGACATTTGTCTAAACCCCTGGACTAAACAGTGCAAAAGTCTAATGCAAGCAGTGGCCTCCGGGTGACAATGCCATGTTGGTGACTTGCACACCGCTCTGGTGGGTGGAGGGTGTGGAGAGTGGAGAAGGCTGTGCATAGGAGGGGAGCAGGAGGCGTCCAGGAACTCTGTGTGCTTGCCACTCGACTTTGCTGTGAACCTAAAACTGCTCTGAAGATTGAAGTCTATATTTAACAAAATTAGTATTTTCGCAATGCCTGGGGAAATTCTCCCAAGATGGACTGTAGCCAAGGCTGGGGGATCAGGGGAGATGCTGATGGCCCTACAGAGCCATGGGAAATATGTCCACTCAGATGGGATTGCCTTGGGTGTGGGACTCCCTACCCTGTATCTTTTATCTGTGAAGGGAGTTGCTCAACCCTGAAATCCAGGGCCCTTCATCTCTGTGGGGAACAGTGGAATGGGAGGAACAGACCCTTGGCTGAATCAGAGAGATTTACAAGCAGAGCAAGTGACAGGACATTTTCGAGATTTGAATTTGTGGTTTGCCCTTGTTGCTTTCCCTTGGATTCCAAGTGGGTAGCAGGGTACTCTGGATCTCCAGGTTCCAAGAGTTCTTGGAAGGGAGCACACAGAAGGCGGGGGAGCCAGGGTTCTATCCATTTTGTCAACTGTAATTACTTAATTAAATCTGATATCACAGGACAAAATTATACCACATTTGGTTTAGAAATCTTAACTGGCTTTCTGTTCTGATTCTAGAGCCAAGCAACAATTGGTCCATCAAATGTAACACACTCCAATTAACTGAGCATAAAAAGTTGTCCTTGTGGAGAGAAAAAGGCTGAAAAAACAGACACAAAGATAGAAGAGCAAATTGGTCGCTTCAAAAAGTGACTTTCTTTGTAAGGCAAAGATAGGGAGACAGAATAGGACAATATCTATTTTATTTTTATTAAATTTATTTTATTATTTTATTAAATTAAGCAATAAGTGCTATTACGATTGAGTTTTGTGCCCACAAAGATACATTCAAGTCCTAATCCCTTGTGCCTTTGAATGTCATCTTATTTTGGTAGAGGATCTTGGTAGGTATAATCCAGTTAAAATGGGGTTATTTTAGGATGAGCTCCCATCCAAAATGACTGGTGTCTGTAAAAAAGTAAACACCAGGTGAGACAGAGCCACCCTGAGGGAAAGGCAGGTGGAGACAGAGGATGAAGTTGGAGCAGTGCAGCTGCAATTCAGGGCCCACTAAAGACACCTAGGCACCACCCAAAGCTGGAAGAGATGAGAAAAAAGTGGACTCAGAGTTTCAAAGGGATCGTGGCCCTATTGACATCTTGGGTTGAATTCAAACCTCTAGAACTAGGAGACAACAACTCTCTATTGTTTTAATCCACTGAGTTGACTCTTGTTTGGCACTCTAGGAAATGGATACAAATCCTTAGCTTACTGTGACAGTGGGAAACCTTGCTCAGCACAGAGCTCCAGTGATTCTTCTAATTGTGATGACCCAACAATATTTCCACTTGCATAGTTTTTATACACGTTCTTTATGCAATGTTCAACTGGCTCATTTTTTCTTTTTAAGTGCTCTCACTTTTCCCGGAAAGCCTACTTCTACAGGTTTCTGCCCCCGCTTCACTGTGTACAGTTTTCTGTCTACACCTATCACCCTTTACTTGCTCTACTGATCTTTTGGATTGAAACCACAATTTCCTGGGGTTTTGCTTTACTCTATTTTTGTTTCACTCCCTCATTTTGCTAGCACACATCTTCTAGTAATTTCCTTGTTAGGAGTACAATGCCTAGCAGTGGTATTAATGAAGGTAAGGCTACTGGTTTCTGTTTCTTTGTAACTGTCCTGTTTCTATTCTTTTCCTTTTATTTATTTTTATTTTTATTTTTTGGTACCAGGGATTGAACTCGGGTCCTTGTGCTTGCAAGGCAGGCCACTGGGTTCTTTTCCTTTTATCACTTCTTTATTATTTCTCACACAATGAAGTTTTGTATGCCACGTTTTGTTGTATTTTCTTTCTGCTTTCAAGAGCCAGGTACTTCAAGGGTCCTTGAAGCCAAAATGTCCTTTGATTCTGGGTCCACTGGTTTCCCAATCTGCTAATATCCACGTGGGGAGAAGTCTTGTCTGCTGTATCCTCAGCACCTATTACAGAACCTTTAGGACACTCAGCATCCAGCTGAATCATTGGGTGAAAGAGGGAACCAAGTAAGGAAGAATAGCAATAGCCTTTGAACTGGTCCTCAGATAGCTCTAAATATTTTAATCCTGAGAGTTGTTAATAAATTCCAAATTTGGAAAAAGGGACCTTGTCAGCATATGGATAAAAACAGTGGGAGAAATGGGAGGAAAAGTCATATAAATTACAAATAATTTAGCTGCCAAAGAGAAATTTAAGCCAGGCAGGCATGGTGGTGCACATCTGTAATTTCAACGCGCTGGAGGACCCCAAGTTAGTCTGGCCTGGCTTGGGCCACCTAGTGAGATTTTATCTCAAAATGAAAAATAAGACAAGGATTGGGGATGTGGTGCAGGATGCAACAGTTCTATCCCCTGTATGAGAGTGAGAGAGATGTAGTTTCCATGGAAGAAATGAGACTTATTGATCACCTTCTGTTAAAATGGGTATCATCATTCTTCATAACCATGAAGAAACTGGAACTTAGAATGTTCAAACAATAACTAGGAAACAGCAGGGCTGAAATTTGAGTCCAAACATTTCTGTTGGTTTATTTAATAACTATTGGTGCAGACTCCATTTAGGGCCAGTCAGTGAGGTGAGACTCTTTTAACTTCCAAACTCCTGTCTTTCCCTTTATCCCTATTGCCTGCAAGAAGTGGGGTATTATATGGCTCAGTTACCTAAAATAACACAGGCTAACATTCCCATAAGGAAGCAAAATTAAAATTTAATATTGTCATTTATTGCAAAAGTTAGGAGCAGTAATAGACTCGAAATGCAGTGGTAGTGGGAGAAGTAGAAAAGGCTGCAAGAGAAACCTGGCCATTGTAATGAGGGTCACTCCCAGTGATTGCTGTATTCCTTGGTCTCTCCCATGCAGATCAAGCTTAATTGTGCCAGCTTGATTTGCTGGCACACTTGTGGGGTGTCTGGGTAGATCATGGGAG